GGGCATAACCTGCAGCCACCATCTGCCTCCCGGGTTGCAGAGCTTCCTGGACAACAGGTGGCCCTTCAGCATCTGGGGACCTCCTCCAGATTCCAAAAATGGACCTGATTGATTCAATTTAAAATGCGAAGAATAAACATTTTTCAAGTATACTAGTGCATTATATTGCTCTACACAGGAGATGAGCAGGGAAATTAAAGACTAACCCAATGGAGACAAGACAGTCGATGTTGGAAGAACCATCCAGTGGGTCGAACATGACAATGTACTTTCCTTGTCTCTCAGTCTCAACTTCAATCACAGTCTCATTTTCTTCTGACACCAAGAGACACGTTGTGTACGATGATCTCAGCAAGTTGATGAAGAGCTCATTGGACAAAACATCCAGCTTCTTCACTTCTTCCCCTTGTACATTGATGTCTCCAGCTACTCCAAACCTTTAACAAACCAACGATAAGAATAAGACCCAACAGTCCTTTCAATTGTATCTGTAGATATCCTCATTCATCGTCAAACCAAACTTCCTTTCACTATATTGCACATGGTACATTCAGCATGAGGAATCCCTCGAAAAGCTCTTTATTTGCACTATCCATACAAAGTAAAATATTGTATTATATTACAATAAACTTTTCGGGAGAACAGAAAATGTTTTTATACTGATTAATTTTTTATAAGAAGATTTAAGGACTGGAAAATATGCTTCACATCAGACCAGCAATTATATCTCGATTTTATGACATTCTCACATTATTAGTTTTATTCCAATGGATAATCTTTCAAAAAACATTTTTCCTTCGTCTATTTCAACAGATGCTCAATTGCATTATCTACATCTCATATAACATTTTCTATTTCTTGAACCCATCCAAATCTTGAGCTTTCATAATGCATACATTTTAGAAATTTTCTAGTTTTACTTTTTATTGTAATTGTGCAAATCAAAAAGCAAACCAGAGGGTTTAGAGAAAGGCTGTCAATACAGCTGCATGTTTCACCTTCCAAACATGGTTTAGTCATTGATTACAGGTTCCATCCATGCAACAAGAACCATAGTATGTCACATTTAGAAAAAGACATTTCAGACTGCCTTAGATGCGACATTTCACTTGGAGAATCAATCCAGCATTTCTCAAAAAAAAGGTTTGTAATACAATACTGACACTGGAAAGTTCGTAATAAGAAAAGATTGATTCAAGATGCACTCTACGGGCCTTATTTCTGACATGAATTGAGCAAAAGTCTGTTAGTTTCAACAATTTCTTGTAACAAGAATGTACCGTACTGTATACAGTATATAGATACGGTAGTACTCACAGTTGTGAAATACCAGCCTTCCTGACAGCGGAACTGATGGCCTTGACGGCAGTCTGAATGGAGACCAGAAGCTGGGTGAGATCCCCAGTTGCCCCAGGCACCTTGGTCTGTTCTGCCAACGTGTATCTCGTCAGCGTCATGCAATTAGTGTCGATCCCACCAGAAGACATGATTCCCGACTGCGCGTTTTTTTTTTGTTTCGAACCTCTGTGTGTGTGAAAGAAAGAAAAACCCAATGACAATCACCACATATTCTGCCAATATCTCACCAATCAAGTAACCAAATTAATTGGATGCATGATGAGCAGTAAAAGATTATGTATGCAACAACGACATCGTACACATTACCCGCGGAAAACCCAACCAGTAAAGCAGAGCTGAAAAAAACACACACACACACAAATCAGAAGACCGTCGTGAGTCGTACTATATTGTAGCTGTACACCCAGCGAAATGCAACACGGAATTCCGAAGCTGAAATATAGTGTCAACGACATCCATGTACAGTAAGTAAAACGTATACTACGGAACGTAATGCTCATGACACAACTGACGGCGCATATAGAAGGAATTGGGATTCATCACTGCTCAGGGGATGGTTCCAACGCAGCGACTGAATGGACAGGAGCGTGGAGGGCGCGTCAGGGGGCAGAGAGGAAAATAAGATTCCATCAGTATACAATATACTGTACAATACTGTGCACCGGTCATCGGCGAAACTAGTCGCACCGTACACGTCACAGAACTGGCGGACACCTTCTCTCCTCTGCTGACTCTCTCTCCCTCACGCACGCACACACACCGCAAGAAAATAGGAAATACTGCTACGAAACAAACACATTTTACAGAAATCAAATGCATGCAACGGAGTACTGTACAGTGCGACACGCGGTCACGCAATTTCCCCGGATAATCACATCTTGAGACACTACATGGATTCACAGCTCAGCTCACATCGCGCCGCAGTAATCGCTGTTTACTGCAAGGCGACGACGAGTTCGCTCAGCCGCACAGGAGAAACCGTAAGCTCACCTCTGTCCTACATCCATATCGGCCGTGCATCAGAGGCACTCCGAAGCAGAGTCGTTTCATTCCAAGCATCATCCCGGAAGACACGATGCCTTACCGCCAGCAATCTGCATTTAAAAGATAATACAGTATTGGAAGTAAATTCGAATCAGGTGGAGAAAATGCCAATTTCAAACCTGCAGTTTCGTCAATGTATTGGCGTTACAACCAATAATGAACACGAAAGCCCGGCCTCTTCGAAGTGCCGC